ATGATAGGATATGTAAACTAATGCTAGAGAATAGGCAAGGCTCACATGCATAAGAATTCCAAACAATTTACATATATACTCCACCCTCAAGTAAGAGGGGAACAGCTCTCTAATTGTTCAGTATGAGCTGAAAAGTGAATTTCTTCCAAAGCAGATAGTATGGAAAGAGGGGAAAAAAAGAGGATCTTTACTGGGAGAAACCTAACAAACACAGGGATAGCCTGATAAACTGTGGACGGAGGTTCGTGACGTTGTACAGGAGACAGAGATCAAGACCATCCCTGAGAAAAAGGAATGCAAAAAGGCAAGATGGCTGTCTGCGGAGGCCTTACAAATAGCTGTAAAAAGAAGAGAAGGAAAAAGCAAAGAGGAAAAGGAAAGATATTCCCATTAGAATGCAGAGTTCCAAAGAATAGCAAAGAGAGAAGAAAGCCTTCCTCAGTGATCAGTGCAAAGAAATAGAGGAAAACAATAGAATGGGAAAGACTAGAGATCTCTTCAAGAAAATTAGAGATACCAAGGGAACATTTCATGCAAAGATGGTCTCAATAAAGGACAGAAATGGTATGGACCTAACAGAAGCAGAAGATATTAAGAAGAGGTAGTAAGAATACACAGAAGAACTGTACAAAAAAGATCTTCATGACCCAGATAATCACAATGGTGTGATCACTCACCTAGAGCCAGACATCCTGGAATGTGAAGTCAAGTTGGCCTTAGAAATCATCACTACAAACAAAGCTAGTGGAGGTGATGGAATTCCAGTTGAGCTACTTCAAAGCCTGAAAGATGATGCTGTGAAAGTGCTGCATTCAATATGCCAGCAAATTTGGAAAACTCAGCAGTGGCCACAGGACTGGAAAAGGTCAGTTTTCATTCCAATCCCAAAGAAAGGCAATCCCAAAGAGTGCTCAAACTGCTGTACAATTGCACTCATCTCACATGCTGGCAAAGTAATGCTCAAAATTCTCCAAGCCAGGCTTCAACAGTACATGAACCATGAACTTCGAGATGTTCAAGCTGGTTTTAGAAAAGGCAAAAGAACCAGAGATCAAATTGCCAACATCTGCTGGATCATCAGAAAAGAGAGTTCCAGAAAAACATCTATTTCTGTTTTATTGGCTATGCCAAAGTCTTTGACTGTGTGGACCACAATAAACTGTGGAAAATTCTTCAAGAGATGGGAATATCAGACCACCTGACCTGCCTGTTGAGAAATCTGTATGCAGGTGAGGAAGAAACAGTTAGAACTGGACATGGAACGACAGATTAGTTCCAAATAGGAAAAGGAATACATCAAGGCTGTATATTGTCACCGTGCTTTTTAATTTATATGCAGAGTACTTCATGAGAAACACTGGGCTGGAAGAAGCACAAGCTGGAATCAAGATTGCCGGGAGAGATATCAATAACCTCAGATATGCAGATGACACCACCCTTATGGCAGAAAGTGAAGAAGAACTAGAGAGCCTCTTGATGAAAGTGAAAGAGGAGAGCAAAAAAGTTGGCTTAAAGCTCAACATTCAAAAAACAAGGATCATGGTATCCAGTCCCATCACTTCATAGCAAATAGATGGAGAAACAGTGGAAACAGTGTCAGACTTTATTTATTTGGGCTCCAAGATCACCACAGATGGTGACTGCAGCCATGATATTAAAAGATGCTTACTCCTTGGAAGAAAAGTTATGACCAACCTAGAAAGCATATTAAAAAGGAGAGACATTACTTTGCCAACAAAGTCCTGTCTAGTCAAGGCTATGGTTTTTCCAGTGGTCATGTATGGATGTGAGAGTTGGACTATAAAGAAAGCTGAGCACCGAAGAACTGATGCTTTGCAATGGTGGTGTTGAAGATGATTCTTGAGATTCCCTTGGACTGTAAGGAGATCCAACCAGTCCATCCTAAATGAAATCCGTCCTGAATATTCATTGGAAGGACTGATGCTGAAGCTGTAACTCCAATACTTTGGCTACCTGATTCGAAGAGCTGACTCATTTGAAAAGACCCTGATGCTGGGAGGGATTGGGGGCAGGAGGAGAAGGGGACAACAGAGGATGAGATTGTTGGATGGCATCACTGACTCAATGGACATGAGTTTGAATAAACTCCGGGAGTTGCTGATGGAGAGGGAGGCCTGGCATGCTGTGGTCCATGGGGTCACAAAGAGTCAGACAGGACTGAGCAACTGAACTGAACTGAAGTGTACAAACACCACCTCAACCAAGTGATCAAGACTGATGTTCAGGAGTGATGTCATACGAATATTGAAGCCCCTTGGTATATAATGAGAAGAACACTTCCTCCATGGCTTTTCTTCTAAAAACTCAACTCCAGTCTAATCATGAGAAAAACATCAAAACAGTTTTAAATAGAGAAAAAGTCTGCAAAGTACCAGACCAACATTCCTCAAAAATATGAAGTTCACAGTCTTAATGCATCTCCAGCCGCTGTAATAAAAATACTGTTGACTGCTAGCTTGTAAACAATGGAAAATTTTCATGGTTCTAGAGGCTGGGATGTCCAAGATCAAGACTCCAGTAGATTTAGTATCTAATGAGAGTTCACTTCCTGGCTCATGGATTGTTCTCTTTTCACTGTGTCCTTACAAGGATTAAGGGATCCTAGGTTTCTTTTACAAGGCATTAATTCCATTCATGAGAGTACATTAAAATGGTAATCACTTTCAAAATACCCAACTTCTTCTTAATACTATCCCAATGAAGGTTAGGAGTTCAAAATGTGAATTTTAGGAAACACAAACATTCAGTTCACTACATTCATCAAAAAAAAAAAAAAAAAGTCTGTGTAACTTACATAGCCAAGAAAAGCCTAAGGAGACAAGTAAATGCAATGTGGTATCATGGAGAGATTCCTAGTTCAAAAAATTTAAAAGATGTTAGATAAAAACTAAGGACATCTGAATAAAATATGGACTTTAGATAATAATAACATAAATATTGACTCATTCACTGTGCAACAATTCTATACCAATGTAAAAATATTAATATCATTAAGCTGAAAGTAGGGTGTTTAGCAACCTTAATGCACTAACTTCACAACTGTTCTGTAAATCTAAAATTATTCTAAAATAAAAGTTTGTTTTTAAAAGGATGTTTGAAATTCCAAATTTTTAAAGTCCACTACAGAGATACAGTAATTTATAAACCACAGCACTGTTACAAATTTGGACAGGTAAATCATTGCATAGGACATAAAGTCTAAAAACACACCTACAATTAAATACTGAGATTTTTAATCATTAAACAAATATTATTAAGAATCTTCTTATTGCAGTCCATCATTCTGAACAATGAAGATAAAGCCCTCAACAAGATATACTGAAACAGACAAATCCCTCATTAAACTCACATTCTAATTGGGAAGACAGGCAATAAGCAAATAAATAAGTAAAATCCACCTCTCAATGCAGGAGACACAAGAGAAAAGGATTCAGTCCCTGGGTGGGGAAGATCCCCTGGAGAAGGAAATGCAACCCACTGCAGTATTCTTGCCTTATCCCATGGGCAGAGGAGCCTGGCAAGGATACTGTCCATGAGGTTGCCAAGGGTCGGACATGACTTGGCAACTGAACAACAATGGATTCCGCTGCACCTACAACCACGCGGCAGAGGAGCAGAATCCTGGCTCCCACTCAAGGACATTTGTGGCTTTCTGATCTCAGGGTAATATTCTGTCATCATTTCTATTCCTCTAGCATGCCTCTCTCACTTTGGTTCTTGCAGAGGTTCCAAAACTTTATATTGTATCTCATGTATGAAATTCTTTTAGTTTGAAATAGCCAATGTGGTTTCTGTTTCTTGACTGGAGTCTGACTGATTCAGAAAGCCAAAGTTTTGATGCCCTCTATATTTAAACAAAATAAATACAAAATTTATGTACAAGCAGAAAATGAACAAAGAAATGAACACATTTCTAAAATCAACTAAAAATGTCTAATATATATGTGTATGTGCATATGTAAATATAGATAGAATCATATACTAGTAATACAAATAAAGTCTCAGTGAAATTTACTTTGTATTCATCAACTGCAAAAGACTAAAGAAATTACATGAGTTTTTGTCAAGTGTAAATTAAACAGGAACTTTAACACACTGCTGCTGAGACAAAGTTTCCAGAGGACAATTTGGAAGTGTATACCAAAATTCTTAAAATTGTGCATACATTCAATTCAGCAATTCTTTGTAAGAATTTATCCTTAGGAAATAAACATAACTGTTTTCATTAAGAGCTTCTGTTAGCAGTAGTCTGTTAGCAGGAGTAAAATTTGAAGGGAAATAATCATAGGCAGTTTGTCCAGAGTAGGGAATATTTTATATAAAATATGGTCCATTCATAGAAAGGAATAATCTACACCTATTAAAATTTTATGAAAGAAAGATATTTATTGGCATGAGGAAATGATTATAATATGTATTTAAGGAAATAAAGAGTAGGTACTATATTAAAACAATATTTATAGCTGTTATACACACATATATGCAACAGAAGACTATATTAAGTATTCATGATATTATAGATGTTCCATACAAGTAAGACAGCCGATCAAATAAATATTTGAGAATGGTTTTATGACATAAAGACCTTTCTCACTGGGACTACTGACCCGGATAGATGGTAGAAACAGACCATCAATGAGAGCTTGTGAAGAAGGTTGTGTTTGGTTTTGCTTTCTGACTTGGAGGGTGTTTCTAGGCTGTGACTCCCACCTCTCTGCAAATCACACAGGACCTCCAACAGGATCCTTCAGATAGCTTGAGATACATTCCCAGTTTTTCAGTGTTGCCGTGTGAAACACGCACATTGTGCTGCCATCTGGAACATGCCAAAAAAGATAAAGCCGGAGGCCACGGCTACTGCCTTGAGGCAGCTAGCGGCAGGAGGAAGATCCTGGGGAAGTCAACCGTAGCCGCGCTTAGACACAGGAGCCTTTGGAGACCACAGGAAGGAGAGCCTAGAGCCGGGATGAAGTCGGCCCATGAAGACCGCCGGGAAAGTTCTGTGGGATATGCACCGCAGGAAAGCCTGGGGCTGTGGGAAGGCGGATCAGCGGGAGAAGCAAGTGCATCGCAGCTTTGCAGGCGTCGCCGCGGGAACAGGCCGCGGACAGGGGCCTCTGAGAGACCAGGACTGCCGTGAGAGGCAGGCAGGAATCACACAGAGCCCCCGCCACGGAGGACCGGTCCCCCTCTGCGCGCCCGTCTCCCTGCGTGCGAGCGTGGGGAGGCGAGCACCAGCAGGTCCAGTGGAGAGGAGGGAAAGGAAAGCAAGCATCTTCCGCGCGGTGACCCTGCCTGTGACGGGAGGAAGGACCAGATGTTAAAGCGAGGTCACGGCTTTGATCATTTTCTGGGACCGTAAAATTTGAGCCTTCATATTGAGACTGTGTTTATAGCTTAAAGTACTGAAAATATTTTAATATGCACATGACCAGAAAGATATGATTGTGGAGAGTCTAGAGTCCCAGGCTTTATCAAAGGGCAAGGGAAAAATCTAAATTTCCCTCACCAAATACATTTTAGCAGTACAAGGAGACAAAACGAAGTTCCCTTTTTGTTGTATACCAGAAGAAAGGTGAATTTATATAGTAAGCTGTATGCTAATATACAGAGAGAGAAGGCAAATGAGTCAATTCCCTTCATGGTAATTGTGACTTGTGCTTTTTCAGGATACAATGAATACTGCAATTAAATGCTTATTGGAATGGAAATATGTTAACTACTGTTTCTTATAATTCAGCTCATTTGGTAATTCCTGAACAATCAGTTAAAACTGGTTTGAAGGTTAAGGTTTCAGAAAACGGAACTTTGCTATTATTCAAGTTTAGTCCCCAGTGGCTGGGTATTGACTCCTACAAGAATTGTACCAAGTCCAGTTTGTTTGAAGAGCAGGAAGCAGGTAAGCATACTAAAATAGAGTGTGCCTCCAAAATTACCTGCAGATATAAGGTTGCATGGTATTTCAAATAAGTAGACTGGGAGCCCCTATCTTGGGCAGATGGTGAACTACCCCTGAAAACTGAATTCACTACTGAGTGAAGTACCAGCTATCTGCTTGAGTCAGGGCAGCCTTTGTGATGTAGCATAGATCTGGATCGTCCTCACTATTCGTGCTGTGACTAAGGCTTGGTCCTTGGGCAAAAAAAAAAGATTAGAAAAGTTTAGCTGGTTAAAAGATTTGGAAGGATAATTAGGTTGCTTATAATTGCTAATCTAATAGCTAAAAACAAAATAAGCTTTAACTTATTTTGATACCAGCTTCCTTTTGTTTGTTTAAGTGATTCATTTCTAGCAATAGCTGACTCACACCATTTGAGTATTTTACTGTGTGTACCTATCTCAAATCGCTTTAAGCTGGATGTCAACCCAGATGCCCTATCTTTTTAGATTTGCTCAATATAATTGACTGAAAATCTATCCCAGCTGTGGTGGAATAGGGTCTTACATAATAGCTGCTAGTTATATTTGCTCATTTATGGCTTGTCACACAATCCTTGCTTTGCTGGCCCGATGTTCTACTACATCATCCCAGGTGTGGGTCTCGGTTCCTGCCCCCCGACAGGCTCCCCGCACATCACTCACCCAAGTGTGGACATACATAATCTGTGTTCTAGTGTGACAGAAGACTCCACATACCCACACGGCTCTCCTCTCTCCCCGCCTCAAGATTTCTTCCTCCCCCTTCAGTTTTTCTTTCTTCCTCTCATGCAATTTCTAAGTCTTCCCCTCTGCATGTTTAAAGACTGTAATATCTGCCAAAACAAACAAAAAAACCAACCTTCTAAAACCCACTCTTTATTACAGCAAATCCTGTAATAAAGCAAAAACAACTGTTTTTGTCTTACTTATATCTCACCATCACTTTCCAGTAAGGGTCAAAAACACCATAAATTGACTTGCGCTTTGATTTGAATTGTGCAAACCCTCTTTCCAAAGGCTAGTTGGCCACCCACGGTAGTTCTACATGAAAAGAGAAAAGGCTTCTTTCCTTATTTTTGCCATTTTTCCACTACTTCATCGTCTCCACATCTTTGCTTTGATCATGCCTTTGTCCTGCTCTCCCTCGCTAATTTTTCCTCCCTTTTTTCTCCAATTCATTTTTTGCATCAAACTCCCCTCATTGTTTCCTGGTATGCCTTTCTTCTGTACTCTATCTTCATTCTCTTATATGTCAAACTTAAAAAATTTGAAGTAAGAATCATCCTTACTTCAATGGTAATTTTCTGTCTACTTTATCAAGCTGTCTATATATGTGTACTGGCACCGATTATATTTTTAAAGCAGTTTTCTATCATGTCTTTAAATGCTTAAAGTTATCAAATAACAGAGTGAATCATTTTAATATATGATGCTAAATGTATTTAATTATAATCATATGACAGTACTAAACCTAAGTAGTATTTTGATTTTTATTTGTATGCCAGTGTTATACTTCATTTAAATAAAAATATATTCAGATATAGAATTTTTACGTTTGCACCTTTATAGTCAATATAAAACAATATTGTTCATATGTGATTTTTATATATAAACAGATTAACATTGCTTCACACCTTATTATTCATTTGTTTAGCAGATATTTCAATTCACCTCTATTATGATCCATATTTATTCCAGAGAGAAGGGAGAGACATAGCAATAAGATAAGAATTAAACTAGAGATATGTACAAAGTGTTTTAGAATAATGAGGAGGAAAAAATTAGCACATACTATAATAATAATAATATAATGGCAATAATTTCTATATGGAGGATTTTTGGCAAAGTGGTAACCCACTAGGTCTCTGTTGACAGATAATGGAAGAAAGCAGTACTGATAATTTAAATGCTAATTCTAGATTTATGTCTAGGTTCATGTACTAAAAATGTCATTTAAGGGCAAGATTTGAACACTTGCCTGTCTTGACTACAAATTCTATTCATGGGATTATATCACCTTCATCTATAAATTGTACCATTCTTAAGTACTTGAATATATGCACTCATAAATGTAGGCATACATCATTTTAGAAGTAATTCTGAAAGAAAATTTTATTGGAAAAATATGCTTTCATTCCTCTGTTTTTTCAGTGTATATATCATGATATGTGTATATATCAGTGTATATATACATGATATATCATATATATGTATATATACATATATGTCATATATATATGTATATATACATGATATATATATTTGTTCAGTGTATATATCATGATATTTGTATATATCAGTGTATATATACATGATATACCATATATATATATGTATATATGTACATATATGTATGTATATATGTACATCATATATATGTATATATACATGATATATATATTTGTTCAGTGTATATATCATGATATTTGTATATATCAGTGTATATATACATGATATATCATATATATCATGATAATTTCTACCTATTGTGGCAATGAAGATTTCTACCAAATGATTGCCTTTGTAGTATGTTCAGTGAATATATAGATTGTGGAGTAGGAAAGAAAAGAATGAAAATCTGGCTGAACTATGTATAACATTGTCATAAGTGGCAGTGAAAAACAGGAAAACGTTAGTAGTTAAAGGTGGCATTCCCCAGATCATTGGAAGGCTAACAATTAGAGACACTTTGCCTAGGGGAATTATAGAAATCTCCTAACTGTTCAACTTCCTATCTTATGCAATTTGATTAATTTAAAAGTACTCTGTATATACTTTTCCTTTGCAGGTTAGCCCATTCTTGGCTTAACCTGGGAAATACTCCTCAATAAATCAATGGATTATGGAATTTTAAAAACTTTACCTTATATGAATTACATTTGTAATTATTATAAAATATGAAATAATTAAGTATTCAACCAGAAACTTGCTTTTGTTTTTTATTCATTGAACAAACTAACAAATTTATGAGCTAAGAACTTATATCCCTTGGTAGAAAACAAGAGGTAGACATTATTTATGTCATACAAAAGCAAGCATCACAAGCACAGACATCATCATTGACCACCAAAACGTTAACCTTTGCTGACACAAAGGTTAACAATTGATGGTAGATCCAAGACTATAATAAATTACCTAAAAGTTAGCTTTTGGTGGTGGTTTAGTTGTTAAGTTGCGTCTGACTCTTAAGACCCCATGGACTATAGCCTGCCTGGCTCCTTTGTCCATGGGATTCTCCAGGCAAGAATATTGGAGTGGGTTGCCATTTCCTTCTCCAGAGAATCTTCCTGGCTCAGAAATCGAACCCTGGTCTCCTGCATTGTAGGCAGATTCTTTACTGACTGAGCTACAAGGGAAACCCAAAGTTATTTCTTAAATGATGCATTTTTTTTTTATTGTATTACTCCTATCAGTGAGATCTCTCCCCAAAACTTGAAAGACATTGCAAACCCTGATAACAGGGTGTTTCAGATAAACATGTGTATGTCTATTATTTCCTGTCACTGAAGAATGAATAGCAGCTTTTTTAGAAACTGTTGTACATGTTCTTACTGTAAGCAGTGATTTGTAAGCAAAAATTTTTATTTCAGCTAAAGAAATATGTTGGTAGTCAGCCATTTTGAGTTTGTTAGCTCACAATTCTAAGTGTTCTCTTGAGCCCTTGGTCACATTTGGAAAGTCCATTACATTTTTCTCCACTCATAAGATCTTTACTTACATCTTGCTCAAAGTTCACTGCTACATAAACTGCTAAATAATCTACCTTCAGATCTAATTGTCATGTTTACAGTTTCTCTTAACACTTATTTTAAAAGTTCTTAGAATCTTATTTATTTGTTAGTAATTTTTCTTGTAATATTTTATATTTTCCCACATGCATTTATTTCACAACACATTAAACGAGAACTTGTACATTTTCTAGCCTTGTAGCTCCCCAGAGCATATTTCAAAATTATTGCTTTAACTGAACTTTCTTCACAACCTTCTCCCCCAAAAGACTATACAACTAGAAGGAGAAAATACCCTGCCTATTGACAAACCCTGTAGAATACCTCTGAGAAAAATGTGTTCTTTAATACCAACAATAAAAGTACTAAAATATTATTTTTATTAAGCTGTATAGTATATGTCAGAGACTATAAAGCTCTTTAAATATTTAATTGAGAGCAACAATGATGTTCAGATTTGCCTTCATTTCACAAAGAAACTGAGGCATTATTGACTAATGTGGTCAGGTCACACAAATAGTACATGGAACGATCAACATTCTAGTCAAGGTTTGCCTGAACCTAAAGCACTTTCTAATTATTATGTGTGAATAGTTTTCCTGCCAACATGTGAGTTATCAAAGCAGACAGTTCAAGCAAATGTTACCTGTACTATAACTATGTATTAAGTGTTCTAT